CTTTGGGACCCCATGGACTCTAGGGATCCCATGGACTCCAGGCCAGAATACTGAAGTGGGTAGCCCTTCCCTTCTCCAGGGGATCTTCCCAACCCAGGGATCGAACCCAGGTCTCCGGCATTGCAGGCAGATTTTTTACCAGCTGAGCCACAAGGGAAGCCCCAGGTCTAGAAGGGAGACTCTATTCATATGGAAAGAAAGAAAGAAGTAAATGATTCAGGGCTGGGTAAGATCCCCATATTTTTACAAATGCCATAACAAGTTTCCTATAGCATCTGAATCTGAATCATTTAAAAGAGCAAAAGAAAGTCCTGTTTTTATAATTCACAAGGAGAAGTGGGGAACCATAGCTACTGGTTCCAACTTTTGATATGTTATTAACATCCCCCCCAGTAAATACAAAGTAATGGCTCTCCAAAGACAAGGAGAATTTTCTCCTGTTTAGACAGAGACAGGCTTTACAAATTGTCTGATTGAGGAAAAGACTAAAAATGAGAGGAGCTAGGTGGTGATCTCCAGGAAGAGGGCTTTATTTGTTCCAGAACCCTCATTCCTAGGGTTAGTGACAGGACCTGGCAGCATGTGACTCAAGGAAGAACTGGACCGCAGGCTCCTGCCAGGCAGTATAGAGCTGAAGCAAATCGGAGTCTGGGGCGGAAGTATTGCAGAGAAGAGCCAAATTTGACTCCATTTCTTTGACTCACTTTTCCCTGCTGTTGTTATTATAATCATACATAATGGCCTGCCTCTGAGGACCGTGCCCCTCTGCCTGACTATTGGACTAAAATGACTTTGTTCAGCTCACAGGCTGAAATAAAGAAGAGATTAACACATACCTTCCAAAGGCTGGCCATTCCTGGAGATGCTCTGCAAGACTGATGGCCCTTTTGACTTCCTCACCGCCTCTCCCTCTCTATTCTACCTTTTGACTTTTGTTCTTCACCAGTTCTCTCTCTGGTTCTACAAAACAACTCGGTATCCAGATCCCAACAAGATGGTTATTATGAGACATTAGTCTGCCATCTTCTCTGTCAGCTGGCTTTCTGAATAAAGTCATATTCCTTGCCTCAACATCTCATCTCTTGGATTCACTGGCCTGTTGCGCGGCAAGCAGAGTGAGTTTGGACTAACTAAAAGAAGGACAAATCAGTAATTCTTTCATAAGTCAAGCTCAGTCCCTTCAGCCTTGTCCGACTTTTTGTGACCCTATGGACTGTAGCCCACCAGGTCCCTCTGTCCATGAGATTTCCCAACAAGAACACTGGAGTGGGTTGCCATGCCCTCCTCCAGGTGATCTTCCTGACCCAGGGATCGATCAAAGCTGCGTCTCCTGAAATTCCTGGATTGCAGGTGGATTCTTTACCGCTGAACCACCAGCAGATGCCAGGAGGACACGGGCCCCATGACCAACCCCGAAGCTGAGACAATCAAAGCCGTCTCCTGGAATGAGTGAATGTCCACAGGGAGGCAGAGTCGCCCCCAACTGAGAGAGGATGCTCTGAAGGCTGTGATGCTGCACGGATTCTGGATGGCATCTCCCAACTCCCTGCTGCATAAGACAAGGAAAGGAGCATCTCTCCTTCCTGTAGTAAAGGAATCATCTTCCTCTAGTGAAGTTTTCTCCCTGTCAGTTTCCCCACATCTAGGAACTATGCCAGCTATTTACATACTGTGGTTCATAAGACACACATTCTGCCTTGTCAACTGTAACTATATGTTTGTTGCTTTGTCTGAAGGCAGACTGTAAACTGGCAATAGTGGTTGCTTCTGGAGTGAGGAACTGGATAGCTGGGGATAGATACAAGGGAGAGATTTTTCAATATATGCTTAGATGTCTTTTGGATTTTATACCACGTGGGAGTACAGCATTCAAAAAATAAATTAAAATTTGAAAATTCTCTGCTGTGAATTGCACACAGTTTGGAAGGTACAATCCCATTTTTTAGAGACCAATAAAAACAACCTATCTTAATTTAGCATATCCAGGGGGAGGGAAAGAAACCTAGAGAAACATGCTGCATGCTAAGTCACTTCAGTTCTGTCTGACTCTTTGCAACTCCATGAACTGTAGCCTGCCAGGCTCGTCTGTCTATAGAATTTTGCAGGCAAGAATACTATAGTGGGTTGTCATGGCCTCCTCCGGGGGATCTTCCTGACCCAGAGATCGAACCCTCTTCTGTTAACGTTTCCTGCATTGGCAGGCGGGTTCTTTACCACTAGCGCCACCTGGGAAGCCCAGAGAAACATACATGAAACTAAATAATGATTATCACCAGGAGATGAAATCACAGAGTTTCTCACCTGCCATCCAGATATTTTCAGGAGGCACATATTTATAAAATAACGTATTATGAATTACTTTTGTAATCAGATAAAACAACAGGAAGAGTAAAAGAAAAAGAGCTATTTCCAAAGCCTCTGGAAAACACCTAGCGTTCTGGAAGAGAGAGAGGGAGAACGTTCTGGAAGGAGCAGATACTGGGACCCCAGACACAGGAAGCAGGGATTCCAGAAAGGGGCAGATGAGAGAACTGGACCTGGAAAGAAGGAGGCATGAATGATGATAGCAGTGGAAATGGAAAAAATCATTTTGAAAGGAAAGGATAGCTCTGTGCTATTGTTTATGAGTTGTTTATTAATTTCCCTCAGTTTCTTTTGCTATAAAATGAGATAATTATAACTATATAAGGGACTAACATTTATTATCACATTGGTCTTATCCTACATATGTTAATTATATTTAATCCTCATGGCAGCCCTGTGACTTATGTATATTAAAATCATCCCATTTTTCAGATGAATCATTTGAAGTTATTGTTGTTCAGTCATGTCCAACTCTTTGCAACTCCATGGACCGAAGCACACCAGGCTTCCCTGTCCTTCACTATCTCCCGGAGTTTGTTCATACTCATGTCCATTGAATCAATGATACCATCCAACCATCTCATCCTCTGTCGCCCCCTTCTCCCCCTGCCCTCAATTTTTCCCAGCATCAGGGTCTTTTCCAATAAGTTGACTCTTCACATCAGGTGACCAGAGTAGAGTGTTTAAGGAGCTCGGCCAGAGGTCACAGAGCTAGAAAATGTCAGAGGCAGGACTGGAATCCAGACAGGCTGGCTTTGGAGCCCAAGTTCCACCAATGACTAGAGCTGGGACTTAGCCCAGTGTCTAGCACAGAACAAATTAATGACTCGGATTATTAAACTGATGAATGATTATACCAAAAGGCTAGGATCCCCACCCCTGCCAAGTACCCACATCAAAGGATGGAGTTCCCCAAGCAGAGAGCACAGTGGTCTTCCCATCATATGCCAGCTTTCCTGTCCCCAGAAACTGCCCTGGAACACTTAAGGGAAGCACCTGATCTATCACAATAAAAGGCTTTTCAAGGATTTGACAGGTGAAGATCCCAGGAGATGCTCAAGATGAGAAGGGGTCAAGGAAAAGGCACTTTATTTAGTCCTCCTTGAAGAGTTTTACCTGCACATCAACAGATCCTAAGGTTAGGAATAGAAAAGAGCACCACACATCCAATAATAGGAGCAACAGCTGCCATTATCATGGGCCAGATGCTGCGCAAAATGCTTTTGAGACAGTTCGGAGTATCCTTTCAACAACCCTATGAGGTCCTATTATTGTGCCCATTCTACAGATGATGGAACTGAGGCTTGCAAAGCGATTTGCCGAAGTCCCACAGCTGGGAATCAGAGAGGACTCAGCATCCCCTTTGTATAACAAAAGTGGTAACAGATCCTCATGACAGCCTCTTTGTATCCTAGGTGGGGAGCGGGATGCCAGGTGACACCTTTCTCTCTGCACTGAGCATGGGGGCTTCTCAGGAATATTCCAGAGGGCAAACAGGAGCCTGGCTCTGCGGATCACACAGAAGGCAGGAAAACTCCTTGGTACGCTCCTCCCCCCTGACCCCCTTCCCTTCTCCTTAAACAGACGCCTGCGCTGTGCCATCCGCTCCACTCTCTAGTAGGCAAACATAGCATGTACCATAGCAGATGTTTATTGAGTGCCTGCCAAGTGCCAGGCATTATTCTGAGAGTTTTATCTTTATTTAATCTAGACAAAAACGATATGGGATAGGTACCATCATTGTCCCTATGTTGTGAATAAGGAGACTAAGGCACAGAAGAATTAAATAACTTGCCACACTCACCCTATTAGAAAGTGATGGAACCTGGGCTGGGCATCAGAACGACACAGACTTTATGATCAAACAGGCCTGGGTTCAAATGTTGACTCCTCTACCAGCCACCAGCGTGACATCCCCTAAGTTGCCTAACCTCTCTGCACCTCGGTCTCCTCATCAGGAATATGGGGACAGCAAGGATTATGGGTAAAGGATAAAAAGTAATATGTGTTCCTTTCTCATTTGACAAATATTTATTTAGCATCTACTCTGTGCCAGGCACTAAGGATGTACCTGCAAGCAAAACAGGGGGGAGAAAGTCCTACCCCGTGGCACACACACTTTAGCAGGGAGGCACTTGTATGGTAGTTCAGTTCCTCCTCACAATAACCCCACAGGTTAGGTACTATTATACCCATTTCACACATAGCGAGAAGGGGTCTCAGAAGCAGTTTATCCCCACCGCCATTTCATCCTTCTAGGAAATAGTGGGACCTGGATTAGACGTTAAAGTCCAGCCTCTGGAGTTTGACTTCCTGGCTTCAAATCCTGCTATTTCCATCTAATTGCTGTGGGCAAGCTTCTAAATCTGTCAGAGCCCAAATCTCCTTCTGGGAAAATGGGACCAGGAGACACTAACTCGCGAGATTATCCAAGGGGAAATAATGAAGTCTATTCATAACTTTTTAAGCCTTTTCATAACTGTTCATGGGGTTCTCAACACGCAGAAGGCCGTCTTTTTTCTTTTAAACGGAGGTGGAAAAAGGCGCACAGAGATAGTAAGTGGATCCCTGGGAAACTTTCCTACCACGGAGGTCCGCGCGCGGCTGCCTGGAGCTAGAGCCACTGTCTTGAGCCCCTACTGCGCAGTTCCCGCCCCCGGATGGTTCTCCCCCATTTCTCGTATCCTACCCCAGCTCTCTCCCCTCTCCCCGCCGCGGTTGCACCGGCGGGCCCAGCCGCCGCAGCCCCGCGTTAGGGACACGCCCCACTGGGGCGCCTGGTTCTTCCCATCTACCTCCTCTCGGAGCCGGGGAGAGCGCTCCTCCACGCCGCCGGACTTGGTGGATACCTGGGAAGGCCGCCCCAGCGTCCGCCCCGCGCCCTGGGGAGCTGGCCTCACCTCCCAGCGGCGCTCGCGTCCCCTGCGCCCGGCGCTCCCGCCGCCGCCGGGTTGGCTCAGCCGCGAGGAGAGAGTGGGTGACCAGCGGGCAGCGGCTAGGGTGTGCGTCCCTGCACCCGCGCCGAACTTCCTCCTGGAGGGCCGACTACTTTTTTTTCCTGGAATCGAGCCAGGTTCTTCTGAGCGCTGGGGTAGCACACCTGTTGGCATCCGAAACCTCTATTCACTGCCCCGAGTCTGCATTTATTGTTTGCTTCCATTGAGCAAACCTTACGGAGCGCCCACCAGATGCCGCGCCGGCTTGATTGCTTCAGGCACCCAGGGGACCCGGAGGGTGTGCTGGCTAGGGCTGCGCTCTCCAGAACGTTGGCCATTTGCCACATGTGGTTATAGAGCACTTGAAATTGTGGCTCCAAAGACCGAGGAGTGTTTAAGACGTAGAATCAAAAAAAAGTTAAAAAAAAAAAAAAAACTCTTCAACAAGTATTAAATTCAGTGTTAAAATGATAATGTTTTGGATATAGTTTTTTAAATGAAATTATTACTAATCTCACCTGTTTCCCCTTTTCTAAACTACAACTGCTTGAACATTTAGAATTCTGTGTCTCCTATTATACTTCTATTGTATAAGGCTGATCGGGGGCAGGAATCCACAGCATGTTCCCAAATAACCTGTTGCAATTCTCCCTTCTAGAATTTATTCAGCCCTTCCTTATTTCCTCCAGGAAATGCGTGGGGGAAAATCTAGTGTGTACGAAGCATGAAACTTGTGTTGATTTGCAAACTCAGGCGTGTCCAGGGTGAAATCTGAAACTGGTCCTTGTACATAGGCAAGAGAAGGCCAGAGAAACAGGCAGGTCACTCCAGACTGGCAAGTGGTAAGTCTAACAAGCAGGAGAACCTACCTATGAAGGTGAGAAGTGGAGTGTTTCCTGCCATGCCAATAAATAAGGCTGTCACAGTTATTGGTGATTCCAGTCCTCCAGGGCTGGAGAAGAATACCTGTAATACAGAGGCAATTGGGCTGCAGCCACTCCCCATGGTGAGCACTGAGGAAGAACGGCAGCTAAGCAGAGTACTGGCCCCAGATAGCTGAGATGCAAATGAAAGGAGTGATTTCAGTAAGCCCAGACACTTGCATCTTTCCAAACATAGAAAAGTGCTAAATTCCTTAACTTGGGATATCTGGTTTTCTTTAATTCACAAAAACACTTTTGACGTTCAGACTACCTGCCCTTTGTTGCAAACTTCTATATGAACTGATGCCCTCCCCCCACCCTCAGCCTCCTAAGAGCAGTTCTCTCAGGGTCACTTGAGATGCTGTTCCCAAGCTTGAAGTCCTAAAATTTCCCACCAAATAGAACATAACTCTCAACTTTTAGGTTGTGACTATCTTTTTCAGTTGACAGAGGATGTCTTGGCTGCTGCAAGATCTCCACAGGTACCTGCCAGAATCTTAATGGTTTATAGAAAGACCTCAACCAGCTTCAGTCAGGCACACTGTCCAGATGATCTCAACAGCACCTTACTCTGTCAATGCTGCCTTCTTGAAACCGGCTCCCACCATGGGAAGGGCAGGCAGAATGTCCATTCCAAGGATGGCAGTGAGGGTGGCAGGGGCTGGGGAAGTGAGAAGCCTCCAACTGTCCGGTCCAGCCTTCTGGTCATCTAGTCATCACATCCTCTCCATTGCCTCCTCCAACAGCCAGACACTGGAGGAACATAGTGAACAAAACAGATGCTACCAATGGCCTCATAGAGCTGACAGCCAGGTCAGATGAGAGAGGGCTGGTAAATAAAATGCACAGTGACTGGAAAGGACAAGCTAAGTAGTGGAGGAAATATTTGCAAGTCAGATCTCTGATAAAGAGTTAATATCGAGAACATATAAAGAAGTCCTACAACTCTACCACCACCACCACAAAAAATAAATAACCAGATTTAAAAATGGACAGAAGCTTGAATAGACATTTGTTCAAAGAAGATATACAGATGGCCAATAGTCATATGTTCAACATCACTAATCATTAAGAAATGCAAATCAAAACCACAATGAGATATCACTTCGTATCTATTAGGACAGTCACTGTAAAAAAAAAAATTAAAAGTGTTGGTGAGGATGTTGTTCAGTTGCTCAGTCATGTCCAACTCATGCATGTATGACTGCAGCATGCCAGGCTTCCCTTTCCTTCACCATCTCCTGGAGCTTCCTCAAACTCATGTCCATTGAGTCAGATACGGAGAAATCAAAGCCCTTGTGCACTTTTACTGAGAATGTAAAATGATGCAGCCATTTGGAAACCTGTATGGAAACTCCTTGGCTTCCCAGGTGGTGCTAGTGGTAAAGAACCCGCCTTCCAATGCAGGAGACATAAGCGATGTGCGTTCAATCCCTGGGTCGAGAAGATCCCCTGAAGGAGGGCATGCAACCCACTTCAGTGTTCTTGCCTGAATAATCTTAAGGACAGAAGAGCCTGGCGTGCTACAGTCCATAGAGTCGCAAAGAGTCAGACATGACTGAAGTGACTTAGCACACAGCACGGATGCATGGAAGTTCCTTAAAAAATTAAAAGCAGAGCTACCATATGATCCAGCAATCTCACTTCTGAATACACATCTAAAAGAATCCAAGGCAGGATTTCAAAGAGGTATTTTGCACACCCATGTTCACTTATTCACAATAGCTAAGAGGTAGAAGCAAACCAAATGTCCACCAAGAGATGAATGGATAAAGAAAATGTGTTATATACTCACAATGAAGTATTATGCAACCTTAAAAAAGGAGGAAATGATATTCAATATCTTTAATAATCTATAATGGAAAAAGAATCTGAAAATGAATACACATGCACGTACACACATACATATAAATAAATCATTTTGCTCTATTCCTGAGCATTATAAATCAGTTATTCCCTAGATTTTAAAAATATGAGTAAAAGAAAAAAAAAGAAAGTCTAGTACATGCTACAACATTGATAAACCTCAAGGACATTATTCTGATTGAAATAAACCAGTTACAAAAGGACAAATAGTGTATCATTCCAAGTATCTAAAGTATCTAAAGTAGTCCAAATCATAGAAACAAAGTAGAAAGTGCTGGGAAGATAGAGGAGGGGAGAGGGGAAATTATAGTTTGGCAGGTATAGACTTTCAGTTTCACAAGATGAAAAAGTTCCAGAAATCTGTTGCTAAACAATATCAATATACTTAACTCTGTTGAACTATACACTCTTAAATGGTTAAGATGGCTAATTTAGTAAGGTTTTTTGTTCTTGTTTTAGCTGCTAAGTCATGTCCAACTCTTTTGCCCCCCCCATGACTATAGCCCACCAGGCTCCTTCTGTCCATGGGATTTCCCAGGCAAGAATACTAAAGTGGTTTGCCATTTCCTTCTCCATGGTTTCTTCCCAACCCAGGGATTGAACCCGAGTCTCCTGCATTGGCAGGTGAGTTCTTTATCACTAGCCAGCAAAGAAGACCAGTAAGTATTTTACCACAATTTAAAAAGCTATATGATGTTGTAAATGCAACTGCGATTATTACAAAAGAGGTGGGTGCTGTAAGAATTTGTATGTGGAGGGAATTTGTAAGAATTTGTATTTGGGAGTATCAGGGAAAACTTCCATAAGAAAGTGATGGTTCACTTAGTTAACCTTGGAGTCAGTTAAATGGGGTGGGGAGAGCACATGCAGAGGGAGTTCAGTTCAGTTCAGTCGCTCAGTCGTGTCTGACTCTTTGCGACCCCATGAACCGCAGCACGCCGGGCCTCCCTGTCCATCACCAACTCCCGGAGTTTACTCAAACTCATGTCCATCGAGTCGGTGATACCATCCAGCCATCTCATCCTCTGTCGTCCCCTTCTCCTCCTGCCCACCATCCCTCCCAGCATCAGGGTCTTTTCCAATGAGTCAACTCTTCACATCAGGTGGCCAAAGTACTGGAGTTTCAGCTTCAGCATCAGTCCTTCCAATGAACACCCAGGACTGAGCTCCTTTAGGATGGACTGGTTGGATCTCCTTGCAGTCCTAGGGACTCTCAAGAGTCTTCTCTAACACCACAGTTCAAAAGCATCAATTTTTCAGTGCTCAGCTTTCTTCACAGTCCAACTCTCACATCCATACCTGACCACTGGAAAAACCATAGCTTTGACTAGACGGACCTTTGTTGGCAAAGTACTGTCTCTGCATTTTAATATACTATCTAGGTTGGTCATAACTTTCCTTCCAAGGAGTAAGCATGTTTTAATTTCATGGCTGCAGTCACCGTCTGCAGTGATTTTAGAGCCCCCCAAAATAACGTCTGACACTTTTTCACTGTTTCCCCATCTATTTGCCATGAGGTGATGGGACCAGATGCCATGATCTTTGCTTTCTGAATGTTGAGCTTTAAGCCAACTTTTTCACTCTCCTCTTTCACTTTCATCAAGAGGCTTTTTAGTTCCTCTTCACGTTCTGCCATAAGGGTGGTGTCATCTGCATATCTGAGGTTATTGATATTTCTCCCTGAAATCTTGATTCCAGCTTGTTTTTTCCAGCCCAGCGTTTCTCATGATGTACTCTGCATATAAGTTAAATAAGCAGGGTGACAATATACAGCTTTGACCTACTTCTTTTCTTATTTGGAACCAGTCTGTTGTTCCATGTCCAGTTCTAACTGTTGCTTCCTGACCTGCATATAGGTTTCTCAAGAGGCAGGTCAGGTGGTCTGGCATAGATAATAAGTTATGGTATATATACAGTGCCTACTGTATCCTAAATAAGAGCATGTAAGTGCTTGTTAAATAAAATTTATTTAAATGCTGTGATACATTGCAAAAAAATGGTCACTAATTCCTCCCATCCCTACAAGCATAGTCTTTGGCAATGTGACTTTTCAGAATCAGAATCAAAAGTAGGATGCATTGAACTTGGACTGGTGATCTATTTCACATATGGTAATATGCATGTTTCAATGCTATTCTCTCAAATCATCCCACCCTTGCTTTCTCCCACAGAGTCCAAAAGTCTGTTCTTTACATCTGTGTTTCTTTTGCTGTCTCACATATAGGGTCATCGTTACAATATTTCTAAATTCCATATATATGCATTAATATACTGTATTGGTGTTTTTCTTTCTGACTTACTTCACTCTGTATAATAGGCTCCAGTTTCATCCATCTCATTAGAACTGATTCAAATGAGTGAGAGGGGGGTTCGGCGGGGGGGACA